GGATTTAAGATACGCAAATTCAGCTACGCGAATAGCGTAGCTGAAATCGACGTATCGCAGCCGACTTACCCCGCTGTGAGGACAGCGGCAAAATCGACCTCTGCGGCTTCCCGTCGACGGCGCTTACTCCCACCTCCGCTGGTGGAGTAAGAGCGTCGATTCGGGGATCGATTATGGCGTCCCGATGGGATGCGATAAATCGATCCCCGAGAGGTCGATTTCTACCCGCCGATTCAGGTGGGTAGTGTAGACCCAGCCTTTGGCTCAAATGCTGAAGACCCACAGCTCCCATCCCTTTCTAATCAGGGAAAGGTCTTTTTGTTCTGTGTCTGTAGCGTGCCTAACACAATGGGGTCCTGGTCCATGACTAAGGCTCTTAAGCACTAGTAATAAATAAATAAATAAATAATGAAACATGAAATGTCTGTCATCAACTTCTTCTCTTCCCACTCTATGATGGGGTGGGCAAGAGGAATGTCTCAACAGGATATTCACCACTCCTCAAATGGAGCACTGCTAAGTGTAACTCCTCTGCCCAGCAGTGACTCACCAGGACTGCTTTTCTCCTGTCCCACAAGCAACAAAGGAAAGGTATGCAGAGAACCTGGCCTGAAGCACATTCTACTCCAAGATACCACTGTAGCCCATGCTCACTCATTTCACTAATGAACTTACAGGCTCTTTACCACTGGGGTTTGGGTTATAAACATTTTGGGAATGGATAGCCATCCACACACACAGGACAGCTGTGATCTAGGCTCATGGACTACGCACCGGGTAGGGAGTTAAAATTTTTATTCTGTTCCTGATTCTACAGTTGACTTGCTGTATGACACTGGGCAAATAAACCTTTCTGTGTTAATCTCAGTTGCTCACATTTGTAAAAACAGGGGCAGTAATACTTATCCACTTTTGGAAAGTGCTGTAAAATCTATGTATAAAAAGTGTTTTACAAGTATTCTGATTATTAATACAGAACCACAAGATCTAATTCCAGCACTTTTCCTTATTTTTGAAAAAAAACTTAAGGCACTGGCAAACATAAGATTTTTAAGTTTACATTATTCAGATTTGTTTAATTAGACTGGCTCTCAACAGTAATTGACCTTCAAACTGCTCCAGGTGTATCTTCTAATATAGGTGTTCACATAATTACTTTAAAAGGGTGACATACAGTTTTACAAGACCTTACCTGCCCCTTCGATAAGCTCTCCCATCTATCAGGGCCTTGGGGTAGAAGAGAATGCAGCAATTCCATTCTTTCTCGCAATGGAGGTAGTAACATAGTTGCACCTACTGACAGCGTCTCAATTACAACCTAAAATAAAAGGAGAGGGGGAGACAACACTTCATATTTTGAAATATTTTTGTATCAACATAAAGGCATTTTTAAAAAAAATTACTATGATTTAAATCAAAGATATCTAACATATCTAAATAATTTAATTTAGAATAACGTTCATTCTAACAGCTGCAGTAATATGGTGATCTTGTACTAGGGAGATGACAATTCAACTTCTAGTGCTCATATAGGGCTCTGGAATTAATCCGCTGATTGCGGCAGTAGCTTTCTGAAGATAAATTCTAAGAGTTAAGTTCTGTTCAGTTACATTGGGATAAACCATTAGAGCAGAAGAGGAGGTTACTCACCCTGTGCAGTAACTGACGTTCTTCGAGATGAGTGTCCCTGTGGGTGCTCCACTACCCACCCTCCTCCCCTCTACTTCGGAGGTAGGGGGCCTCCGTGGGAGAGGAGGAACTGAGGC